ATTCTAACACAAGCATCAGATCAACACTGACAAATATACGCTGGTGAAGGTTTTAGAGCCACTGAAACTCTCCTGTGTAAATATTTCAAAATGTTCTCTCTCCCATGCCCCTCCCCATCCACAGATAAATAACACCATAGAGGAGGGATAATTCAGTGGGGGTTGAAAATGGGTGGACTTTGAAGGGCCGTTTTTCCCCACCATTCGAATGCCCCTTTCTCTCATTTCTCTGTGAATTGAGGGCCTTCATCTTGTTCAGCCCTCGCTTCCCGCCATGTCCACCATGGCACCTGACACACAGTGGGGCTGGGCACAGGTGAAATGTATGTTATTTTTTCTATTTTCCTTTGTGAAGCAACCAAAGCACAGAGAATAATATCAGGTGAGCTCTGGCCAGTGTGGCTCAGTTGGTTGGAGCATTGTCCTGTACACCAAAAGGTTGTGAGTTCGGTTCCCAGTCAGGGCACATACCCAGGTTGTGGGTTTGATCACTGGTCAGGGTGTGTACAGAAGGAAACCGACCAATGTTTCTATCACACATTGATGTTTTTCACTATCTCTCTCCTAATCACACACACACACACACACACACACACATACATACATACATACATTAAATAATATCAGATGAGGCATTTGGGTACCAAAATTTGTCCTTCTAGTACCAAACTAAACACTCACTTTGACATCATTTTCATGGGAGAGTTTCTTCTCTTGTAAAAATGGAACCCCCCCCCCCTTTCTCTTGCAAAATGTTCAGGGGAACATGGGAAATAAACATGTGGCAATGCTGCCGTGGCAGTTCTAGGTTTACTCAGGATGAGGTCATTAGGGATCAGGATCCCAAGGAGAATGTTCTGGCTCCTTCCATTCCATCTGCACTGGCCCTGCCTCTGTGAAGTCACACGCCTCCTCCCTGGGCTCCCACCTCCTTCCCCTCCTTCCCTCTTCCTCCTTCCTTTCTTTCTCTCTCCCTCCCATCCTTTCCCAATTAATTTAATATCCAACAGGCTTTCCACCCGGATGTGTAGCTCTGTCATGCCTGCCTCTTGCATAAAACTCTTTTATAGCCCCCCCACCCTATTACGTCACACTGAAAGTTTTCAGTTTGGCGTTTAAGTCCTTCCACTGCGTATCTCAACTCATCGCCTTTCAGAACTGGGTGAGGGGTGGGAGCTTGCAGGTTTCTCCATGTCAGAGCATGTGGGGAAGCCATATATAAAGTGGGGGTCAGTGGGCGCAGAGAAGAAAGGATGTAAAGGCAAGTAGGTGGCAAATGATACCATTTCAAGGCCTCCAGGTTCTCTACTCCTTCCCTACCCTCCCTGTGCTCCTGGGAGCCTAACTCTCCCAGTCAGTGACTGGGCTCAGCCCTTCAAGTCTTTGTCTGTCCGCATTGCTGCCCATGAGTTTTTCTCCCCACTTCTCAGAATCAGCCTTTCTTCACTCACTCCTCCCTGGCGGGAATCCTACCAGCATTCTAGGTGCAAGTTCCCTTTCCTGCGTTTACCTGGCCCTCCCCAGTAGATTTGGATCCTTCCCCAGTGTTTTCTGTTCCAGTCCAAGCGAGCTCAGTGAGGAGCCTCGCTCTGGGATGTGGGAGTGGCCTCTAATGCAGGGTGGGGGCATGGGACTCAGAGATGTGAAACCACAGAGAAAGGTGATATTTATAGCTCTGACCACATCATTCTCCCTCCTACCTACCATCATATTGGAAGGGGGCACCTGGGACTGAACAGTGAATCCACATGGACATGAAATGAATGCAGTATATTTCATAGTAGCCAAAACCATTTTATCTTATTTTTTAACAACTAGAGGCCCCTCAGCCTGGCCTGCCCCCTCTCGCAATCCTGGACCCCTCAGGGGATGTCAGGCTGCCGGTTTTGGCCGATCCCCGCAGGCCAGGCCTGAGGGATGTAGTAGTGCACAAAGTGGCGACAGGTGGCCAGGGAGGAGCCCGATCCCGGGCCAGGTGCTGCACTGCTCCCGCTCATCCTGGCCCTGCTGCACCTGCCACCTGCTCAGTAGTGCAGCCCCGGAGACGGGAGAGACTTGCACCATCTCAGCTGCGCTGGCCATCTGTGAGCCCGGAGTCTGGCGCCTGCCAGTCAGCTGAGCGACGCTCCTGCTGTGGGAGCACACTGACCACCAGGGGACAGCTCCTGCATTGAGCGTCTGCCCCCTGGTGGTCAGTGTGCATCATAGCAACCGGTAGACAAGTCATTCGGGTGTTCAGTTGTTCGGTCACTTAGGCTTATATATATATAGATTGCATGAAGTGCTTTTTTTTTTCCCAGGGGCTCCTGACTAATCCCAGGGCATTGTATCTGACCACATAGGCCACGGTGAAGCAGAATCTCAGGGCAACTCTGAACCAGGCTGCTGGGCTCAGGTCCAAGATCTCCCACAATTAGCTGGTGATATGTCAGGGTACTTAACTCTTCCTGTGCCTCAGTCTGTTCATCTGTAAAATAGCAGTAATGTGTACCCCACAGGTTTGTTATGAATATGTAAATGCTCAGAGTAATGACTCCCACAGAGCAAACACTCCTGAAGTGCTGAGTTCCACTCTGTGTTAGATCGGATCTGAAGCATTGGTATCCAGCAGAGCCAGGCTGGCCCCTTTGAGTCCTAGTCTGAGCAATTTCTCCGTGTTCTGTGAAACCTGATCAAACACAAGCAAAGCCACATTGAGCAACAGGGCCCCTGTAAATAATTGTGCTTTGACTTTCTGCAAAACACACACTATGGTGCCAACCAAGTTCAGGAAAACAATTGCTAGAGCAGTCTGTTTTCTTAACTTCTAAATAATAGCTCTGCATTGCCTGGAAGAATGTTAATTACTTTCACAAATTTAAGGTTTGTGAAAGAATTTGCCTTAATAGAATTTGAAAACTCAGCAAGATTTTAATTTTGTGCTCAGCTTTTCAAGTTTTAAAATGTTCTTCAACTTCATGCAAAATGACCTCTCATATCCAAATACTGCCAACAACCTGGTACAGAAAAGAACATTCCAATCATTAGACTCTTGTTTAAAACCTAGCTCTGCTCTCGGGAAAAGGCACCCCTTCTCTGCATCTTGGGGTCTTCAACTCAAGCTGGGGAACTGGAACTCAGCTCATGTTCTTAATGAGTCCTAAGAGAGACTGCAAATGTACATGTTATACTTATTTTTTGACAAAAGACTGAAAAATAATGATAGCTATTTGGGGATGTGGGGCATGCTTACTCTGTGCTACACACTTCATGTACACATAGGTTTCTCCCCAGGAGATACTGGGCTTCTCAGAAGAAACAGTCTGAAAGTCAGTAAGAATGCCAGGTGGAAAGCCAGGGGGGAGAAGGCTAACATGGGTTGAAGGAGAAGAAGGCAGGGATAGGGATAAAAGGTCTCAAGTTTAGTAGAGGAAAATATTGAGATAAAAATTGAAAAAGTCTCTTAGATTTGTTACACATGATTTTGCAACATTACGCTGGCCTAAGGTACACTGGCCTAAAGCAATTTGGCCCGTGCAAGTTCAAAAACATGACAATTTGCTCAAATAACATCTGAGTCAAAAACAAACATCTATTGAGTCATTTTGGATGCATCCTGGTGGGTAGTTTTGTAAACGTTGATTTATATCGGAGTGGTTTTGTTAGTTTTTCAGAAAAATTTTCTGAAGGCCTTAAGTATGATTAGATTTTAGATTTCTGTTCCTGCTCTATATAACTGTAAGTAGTGAAAAGATACAACAAATAATAGCCAACAGAAGGTTATCTGGGACAATTTTTTAAAGAATAGCAATTTGTATGATTTAATTTTCATTTTAAAAAATGGCAAACTCCTAGGTGCTTGTCCCAAGGTGGGGGATGTGAGGGTTTGTTGTGGTGGTTCTTTTGCTTTTTTTACTTTCTAATCGTTTAATGAACTTGATTCAAAAAGAAAGACTAAATATAAGAGAAAAAGGCTAGAACATTCAGAGATGCTTACAGAATATTTCCAATTCATTATATGATGTTATGTGGCTTCTGGGGGAAATTCCAGAATTCAGGGCCAGTGGATTGAGATGAAGGTACCAGTGAAGAAAGAAAGGTGAGCAAGGGACGGAGTCTGAAAAAAGACCCGCAAGGGCCTCTGATTTGTGCCTTGCTCCCTCCTTCCCTTCCTCCTGTCATTTGCTGAAAAACATGCGATGGCTAAATATTCAAAGATTTGGCTTTTATGTTCCTGGAACTGGTGTGCACGCCTTTCCACCACTCACGACTGAGTGTTCAAGCCACTGCCTCCCGCCTCTGTGCCTCAGCAGCGAAAAGATGAGGAAAGGGAACTTCTCAGCTTTTGTCGTTTTTCTTATCATCAGAGTTTCTTCCAGTAATAGCTAATAAATTTCCCAATAAAACCATTCACAGGAAAATATACTAATAAGGATTTGAGGTTAAACAAACCTCACGAATGAAGAGGGAGGTGGAGGAGTTGGGTGCTGTGTGCATATTTGGCTCAGAGCCCTCACGGCGGAGCCACCACCCATGATGTACAAACCAACATATCACACCCTCAGTTTGTTTCTTGCTGGATCCTATTTTTTTCCACTCATCTGAAATGTGCTAATTAACCACTGGTTTGGGTTTAGAATACTTCAGTTTTTCTTAAAGGGTGAGATTTAAGGTCTAAAGACAAATGAAAACATCCCTTCTGTTGAATGTGTCCTGAAGTTGTAGCTAATTGATTAAATCCATTTCTTTTCGCATGACTCCGTGGGGCAATGCTACAATGATTGAATTACCAAAGTGCAAACCGTAGCTGAATGAAACATGTTTGGAACTGGCAGCGCAGATGGATGTGGCGATATTGGCATTTTCCTCTTTCTCAACTTCCCCGGCCCCCTGGCTAAGGCATTTGGGCCCTCCACATGTTTCTCATTAGTACAGTGTCTGTCATCTGGGGAGGAGTTTTCAGTGCCTCACACAGAACTAAGAAATGCTTTTTCTCTGGCCCTTAATGGGCGAGGAGAGAAGAGAGAACAACAGGACCAGCTGTGCTCCAAGCATCTACTGCTCGCCACAGCACACGGGAGAAGAGGGTCTGAGAGAACTTGGAAGCTCAGAGGTTAGTGTGAATTTGGAAAGGAACTCCTGCTCCTCCCATCTCATTGGAATCATGGTTGTGGTCTCAGCCAAGTAGCCTCAGTCGTGTTTAATTGGTCCCTAACAGCAGTTCTGACAGGGGCTGCATCCGACGCCTGGGGCGGACTGGGGGCACTGGGAGTAGCAAAGGTTGTCTCTGTGTGTGAGCACATGCCTGTGTCTCTCTATGTCCTAATCTCTTCTTACAGGGACACCAATCACATGGGACTAACGCCCACCCTAATGACTTCATTTTACCAATTACCTCTTCAAAGGCCCTGACTCCAAATACAGTCACATTCTGAGGTCCTGGGCATTATGACTTAACATATGAAGAAGGCGGGCACAGATCTGCAGGACAAAGAGCAAGGAGGAGTTTGGCACCACCTGCCCTCCTTCTCCGCGATGAAGGGCTAGATTTCCAGACCCATGTCCCAGTGCTAGGTATCAGGTGTGAGTGTAGTACATTAAAGCCATTGACATCAATAAGACAACCAGTGCAAACACATTTAACCTTCGCTTACTCAGTAATTCTTATATATTTCTCTTTTTTTAAAATATATTTTTATTGATTTCAGAGAGGAAGGGAGAGGGACAGAGAAATAGAAACATCAATGATGAGAGAGAATCATTGATTGGCTGCCTCCTGCATGCCTCCTACTGAGGATCGAGTCCACAACCCAACCCAGGCATGTGCCCTGACTGGGAACTGACCTGTGACCTCCTGGTTCATAGGTCAACACTCAACCACTGAGCCATGCCAGCCGGACATTCTTCTATATTTCTTATTTCTGTCTCCATATCGCAGTGTAATGACTGTGACTTCCAGAAGGATGGTAAATAATACATACCAACCGTTCCTTGCTTCTGATTTTAAAAGCTATTCCCGCCCCCCCCTCCGCCCCTATAAGGGGATTTCACAATCCATCGTAAATGTTGGCCACTGTTGAGTTGCATTGGATATTTCTTGTCACTCTAATTGCTGATTTACCCTCAGGTTTCCTCAGAAATTTATCAAATGACCTATGATTTTTTTTTAAATGAACTTGTATAATTCCCCCTTTGACCAGTTTATTGTAGGCAGTCTCCTAATTGATTTATTTTTAGCATATCAGCAATGCATTCCTGAGGAAAACTTAGACTTGGAATGTTAGTCTTTAAATACACGGCTGAATTCTGTTGGTAGTCTTCATTTAGTTGTTTTGCTTTGCTATTTATAACTAAGCTAAGCCTAAAGTTTTCTTTTTTGTTTTAGTCTTTTCAGATTTAGATACCAGTGTTAGGCTAACTCAAAAAGTGATTTGGGAAAGTTTTCACATTTCTATTCTCTGGAACAGTTTGCATCATGTAAAGATCATCTAAATGTTTCAAGTTTTTTGGTTTTTTTAATTGTCAATAATACCATCAAAGGGACATTGTACCATGGTTTTGTCACCTTTATCTCTACTACTATGAGTCTGTTTAAGCTTTATATTTCTTTAGTTAATCTTGGTACCTTCCCTTTTCCTGGGAAATAATTTCATATATATTTTAAAACATATCAATATGGATTTACTCTTAATATTTTCGTGTAAAATTTGAAGTCTTTCAATTTAGGTGGTCTTTCTCATTTGTTAATGTAAGAAAAATTTAAACTTATACAGAACTTTTGTGATTTTATTTGAGCCAAACTGTTGTCAATTTCCAGGAAGTGAATTTCAATGGCTTGAGATAATGCTCCAAAGAATGGCAGTTTTTCACCTATTTTTATAAATTACCATCAAAGGAAGAGATATGATGTAAGTGGGTTTCATTAAACCAATTAGTGATAGATTAAGCAGGTGGGAGAAATCAAAACGGGGGAAACATCTAGGATTAGATAAAAAGTAAAATGATAGACACATGCTTCTTTTACATAAGTGGGTACAGGATAGTTAACACTCAACAATTAACATGATAATAACAATGAGGAGGGAATTTGTGGTACATTGGTTGAGCCCTTAGGGGTTCAAAAAAAAAGGGGGAACTTACAAGTTACCTTGACATTCCACAGATGTGTTATCACAGATACAAAAAGACAATAGGCTCAGTTAAGATCAAAGTTGATCTTTGTCAGGAAAGATACCCGCCTGGAACATGACTACCCAACATAGACTGCTTTGTAATTTAAAAAGTTTAATTTCAGACCATCCTTTGTGGTTACTTTAGGTCTCTGACTTTGCAAGGCCACCACACAGGCCTTCCCTGAGTTAGTCGGGTTAGCATGTGGCCCCTTTTCATCCACCCATTCTTATTTTTTCTCTTATTTTTTTCATCAATTATACTTGCCAAGTATAATCATGGTTAATTTGTTTTCCTAAAGTGCCAGCTCTTGCATCTAAGTTGTTATTAAAGTTCTTATGTAGGAGGGATGGTGAAAGAATTGTCAGCATGAACCAAGGGAGGAAGACACAGTGAGGCCATTTCTCTGGAATGGAAGGCTGTGGGTTCAAGGCCATTTCTCTGTGAAGGAGGCTGTGAATTCAACTTGGTGAGGTTTCATGGCATGTACACAATCTCCACTAATTACTATGATACCATTGTTTGTGTCTCACACAACATAAACCTCAAAGAAGTCTGTCACCCTAAATATGAGAGACATTAAGATAAAGTCGTAAATTGGTGCTAACACCATAGCTGTTCCAGACAGTTAAGGACTTCTTTTTTAATTGTCCTCATCTGATGAAAAGAAGAAGTGGAAACCAGTCTCCTCCACACTGAATGTCAGAGCCATTCTTGACATTGACCAAAAAAGCGAATGAGGAAAAATCACTAAGGTCAGCTTTTGGGACTTTGCTTTCAATTTGTAATAAAGAGAAAAAAACAAAGAATGTTGAAGAGTATAGTAATAACAGCTTCAATATTGAGTGATCATCATCAAGTGTGTCAGTCTTCCATGATGAGGAAAGACTTGAAAATTAAAATATACTTCTCTAATTGAATTCAGTTGTTCTGAAACTCATCTGCAATGTATTACCTCCTGGCAAATATCATCAAGTATCCGCTGAGCCAGGTATGTTATTGGAAGCTGAGGGTGTCAAGATGCACAAAACACCAGCTCACAGTATTTACTTCTGTTCATTGTGCATCACAGCTTTGGGGGACACATGGCCTCCTCAATGTGTGTCCTCATTTCCAATATCTGTTGGCTAGACTCAGCGTCTCAGTCCACATCTGTGTGGTCAGCACTTGCCTTGCCCCTGCTCCCACAGGATATGCCTAGTGTTTCATCTCAGCTGTTCTATACCTCGCTGTTGACTTATCATCAGATCTGCTGATCACCAAGCAGAGGACTCTTGGTCACATAATCTTGACTGTCCTCCATTTTTGTCAGGTACTAGTAAAGGACTGTCTCCCTAAATCTTAGTTGTCTCATCTCTCTTTGGAAGTTTGGAATATATTTTATATGGTTTTATGGTACAGCCATTTTGGCATCCTGCCATTCTAAAAATGAGCGGCTTCCTTCAGTTGGATTCACAATTTAATTTGAAATAGTAAAAATGTAGCCTGGCCGGAGCGGCTCAGTGGTTGAGCATCAACCTATGAACCAGGAGGTGATAGTTCGATTCCAGTCAAGAGCACATGCCCAGGTTGCAGGCTCGATCCCCAGTAGGGAGCATGCAGAAGGCAGCCAATCAATGAATCTCTTTCATCATTGATGTTTCTATCTCTCTCTCCCTCTCCCTTCCTATCTGAAATCAATAAAAATATTTTTTTAAAAAAATGTGAATGTGCTCTCATGTGAATTACCAGTGACACTGCTTGGACTATGGCTCATCTACATATTTGTGGGCCTGACACTGTGGGCTTGGCACAGGGAAGGGGTACTTTGAGCAGGTAGACATTTATGAATGAAAGAAACTGCTTATTTCAATCTGTGGATACTGCTGAAGCACTTTATCTCTAATCTCACAAATCTGGGGAAATGAGGTTTGTTAAAAGAAAGTGACCCGACCTAACTCACAGAGTTGCTGAGAGATCAGAGGAGGAAAAGGATGGTGATAGTATGTTGTAAACTGTTTGTACATGGCTAAGAAAATATGAGGGACATCTGCTACCTCATTCTCAGTAAACATCCCAAAGAGACCAGGGCTTCCCACCCCAAATGGATACAAACACCAAGACCACTCTCTCTGCTATAAATCCTTGAACTTCAGGCCTAAGTAAAATTCCTTCTCTCACATTTTTAATGAAATAAAAATAAATACAATTACTGAACAGCAGCCAAAGATCACAAGAGGCTAGAAGTGAAGCAAGGATATGGTCAGCACTGTTTGCTTGCATTCTGGCACTGTTTTCTTGGTGAATATTTCATTAATGGGAGGGTTGCGAGGGGCAAGGAGGGCCCTTTGTTCCTCCTGATGGATGTCTGCTGCTGTTTAAATCGGAGCTGGGGTGGCTCTGTGGTGCCCCGGAAACTTGACACCCTAAGGAGGACATGGCCCAGTAGAATGTGAGAGACTGAAGCCACAGGACTTAAACTCCCTTCCAGGAAGAGCTTTTCCCAAAGATCAGACATTTGTTCTTGAAATTATGTTCAGAAATACACAAATATGCACCTCACTCTCCATATTCTGTCCCTGCACCCATTCTTCAAAGACCTTGAACCTGACCTTTTTTCTTTACCCCAAGTAAAAATAAACATAAGAAGCATTAAGTACTAAGAACCTTTAAAGTGAAACTCTAAGTAAATCATGGGCTCACAATTAATACCCTCCTTTGTGAGTAGATTTGTTGATTCCTTATAATGGAGCTAAAGGTATTTGGTAAATGAAATATCATTATCATTGCATTTTCTACTGAATAATCATGGTTGCTAAACTAAAAGGAAAAAAATATCTGAGCAACACAGAAAGTAAGTAATTATCCACAGCCCATTTGAGTAAATCTCACTTTCTTGGAGAAATTGTCTTTACCATAAGTAACTGCTGCTGGTATAAGTCCCTGTCACGCTCATTAAGCCGT